TGTGTGTGTGTGTGTGTGTGTGTGTGTGTGGACGTGTTTATGTTCACTGTCAAGCCCAGCATTAACTGTGCGATTTGGATATTGTCATCTCTGGCCTCTGGTTGTGTTCTTCTCCTCATTCTGCTGATCATCACAATTTTTTATTGCAACCGTAAGTCACATCCGCCTTTAAATCATGCATACCGCAATAGATAATGGTCATTTTTAACTGCACATTTTTTGAAAAAATTATAATGGACCAAATGTGTTTTGGAACAAATTAGCAATTGCACACAATTACTCTTAGTTGAATTTATGTCTTGAACACAGTCAGTTAAATAAAATCCACAATTATATAGTGTCACAGGAATCATAAATGTGCAAATTCCATTTGCAATAGTAAGAAACAGTAGCTGTAAGATGTACCTGTAGCTGTAGCTGTAAAATTTCAATACTACACGATTATTTATTTCAGAACAATTAAACTATTCCTAAAGGCAAACACACAAGCAAATATGTGGACTGATTTATAAGAATAAGCTATATATTACCTAGATTTTATACATTATATTATTAATAAGAACATACCTGGAGTAGAGAGCACCTATGAAAATGTGAAATACTAAACAAATGAAAAAGGGGTCTGGTCATTAACTGAGCCCCATGGGAGGACTCTAATTTAATTTTCCATTTAAATATTTAATAATCTTAAGTCTTAAGTCTCTGGGGTATATTTGTAGCAATAGCCAAAAATACATTGTATAGTGAGTGAGTGACGTGACATGTGGCCAAGTATGGTGACCCATACTTGGAATTAGTGCTCTGCATTTAACCCATCCAAAGTGCACACACACAGCAGTGAACACACACACACACACACTGTGAACACACACCCGGAGCAACCATTCATGCTGCGGCGCCCAGGGAGCAGTTGGGGGTTCGGTGCCTTGCTCAAGGGCACCTTAGTCGTGGTATTGAAGGTGGGAGAGAGCGCTGTACATTCACTCCCCCCACCTACAATCCCTGCCGGTACGAGACTCGAACCCACAACCTTTGGGTTACGAGTCCGACTCTCTAACCATTAGGCCACAACTTCCCCTTTTTTTTTTTTGGGAGGTCATCAGGTTTGGGAATGATCGATTTTACTTTTATGCCAATAATCATTAGGACATTTAGTCATATTTAATCACGTTCCATGAAGATATTTTGTAAATGTCCTACCATAAATATATCAAAACTTAAGTGTTGATTAGTAATATGCATTGCTAAGAACATCATTTGGACAATCCCTGCCGGTACGAGACTCGAACCCACAACCTTTGGGTTACGAGTCCGACTCTCTAACCATTAGGCCACAACTTCCCCTTTTTTTTTTTGGGAGGTCATCAGGTTTGGGAATGATCGATTTTACTTTTATGCCAATAATCATTAGGACATTTAGTCATATTTAATCACGTTCCATGAAGATATTTTGTAAATGTCCTACCATAAATATATCAAAACTTAAGTGTTGATTAGTAATATGCATTCCTAAGAACGTCATTTGGACAACTTTAAAGGTGATTTTATCAATATTTTTAATTTTTTTGCACCTTCAGATTCCAGATTTTCAAATAGTTGTATCTCAGCTAAATATTGTCCTATCCTAACCATACATCAACGGAAAGCTTACTTATTCAGCTTTCAGATGATGTATAAATCTCAATTTTGAAAAATTGACACTTAATACTGGTTTTGTAGTCCAGGGTCACATATATGCATATATTTTAATCACCGATATGCATATATTTCCAATTTACTCTTATGTTCATAGAATCTGCTTTCATTACTTTTGGATTTATTAAGTTTTGGAAATCTTATTTTTTCTCAGTTTTGCTAAATATTTTATTTAAAAATGTAATTGATTTAAAATAATGTATGAATGTCGCTGGTGTTATATATATATATATATAAAATGTTTCATTCCTTTCCAGGTTTAAGAACAAGACGATGTCCCCACCATTACAAAAGACAGTACGTCTTGGGGGGGTTTTCTTGCACAGTGTCATTAATGCAGTACATTTTCTGTTCCACAATCTCAATTTCTCATTTTCAGACCCAGACCTGCTGGCCATGCAAAACTGCCCAACAACCACTTCTAGCTCCAGTATAGACACAAGAAAGTCCAGTACTGGTTAATGATATCTTTGATTCAATTACTTCTCACTAAGCAAATTTAAAAGCAGTTTCTTCCTTTATGATTATTCAGACTGTACAGCCTTAAATCTTAAATCTTTTAATCTTTCACACTGAAGACGTTCAAAACATCACTATTTCTTTTCCAGTGAGTAGATGATTTTTAAAGTCATTATGTCTTTGTATCGGTTAGGGTTACATTTAATGCTATGACAGTACTCAGACTGTTTTTATTATTATTATTTTAATCTGTTCCTAGTGAAATGTTTTGTGTTTGCTTCAATGTAGGCTAATTACATGTTCATTTAATTAAATGATGATTTAAAGTGATGTCAAAAATGATCACAAAAGCATTTTAAGCTTTAAATTACATCATGTTCAGTGTCACATTGCATAACTGTAATCTGTTTACAAGATAAATCTGCCATCTGCTGGCTGTCAGTGATATGAAGAACCTCAGATCAGTCTCATAGATTATTGTGCTGAGATACTAAACTTACAGAACGAATTGCATTCATTTTGCTGTCTATTTCTACATTCATTTGTAACTAAAATTCAGTTGCAAATAAACAAAATATGAAGTAATCATACCATATACCCATATCAGTGATGTAAAGAATTTCAAATCAAGGTCTTGAATACTTATCACTAGCATTTTGATTTGTAAATAACCCAAAGTTGGTTTGTGGCAGAACACCACCATGTGGGCAAACAAGGTGCTCAAACAATGCAGACTGTCTGTCACATCAATAAATATGAACATGTACAGCCATGTGCTTGTGTTTCAGCCGACAGGTCACTGAATGGGATTTGTACTGTAGTTTGAGTTTCTCTCTGCTGCAGTTCAGGAACTAAAGCTACTGCATAATATCTGAAAAATTTAAAGTCTTATGATCTAGTGATACTTCTGGCTCTCTGTGACCTGAAAATGAATGTTCAGCGTCCACATAGTGCTCAGCAAAATACTGATTCTTACTTTTGGTTTGCTTTGGGAATCAGTTTGTCGGCCAGCTCGACCTGATCTTGTAAAGAAATAACGAAATAAACACCGTACTTGTATTAGGATTTTAGAGTGGTATATTGTGATTAAGATTTTTTTCATCCTTTCAGTAGTTTTGTTCCTGTTCTTGTAGAGGAACTGAGTGTCTGTGTGCTGACATTTGAATAAAATGCATCAAATATGCATTATATTTTGTACTAGGCTATTTTGTCCCTCATCTATGGGGAGTAACATTTTCTTGTTTATAGTATTATACTGCATGTACATTTATGGTAAATATGTAAGATATGAAAGTGTAAAGGACAGATCGTTTAGTCATATGAATAGACCAAATACAATGACTCAAAATTAGCTTAAAGGCTTACTTTAATTTATGTAAAATAATCAAATTTAGCCTTAACATACATTAGCCTAATCCCAGCATATAAACGCCATGGAAATTATGATACAGCACAGAAATTATTATTTATACTTGGATTATTGGTATGTTTAATTTTGATAGCTTGATCTCACAATACATAAAGATGGACTAATCAGTTCAAATGGTCTGAATTTACGTTTTAATAAATATTTTATGAACTAGGCCTGCTATCATTCTCTGTAAACACACACCCAAAAAATTATATACCTGAGCCTCTATAATCAGTACACCTTTATTTGAATAAAGATTTTAAGAACAAACAAAGCAAGTTGTTTTATATTTTAAGTAAAAATCCCTTCTTGAAAATACCGTCCTGTCACAATGACTAGTACACAACATCTTAGAATGCTCTAGGATCTGAATCTGTTCAACATTTCATGACACTGTTGGGTTTAAAGGTCATATTTAGGATTCTATCATCAGCTATGAAAGCTATTAGAAGATTTTAAAGCATCAAACAGTGAGCCTTGATGATAAGCAAAACAGCAACGTTGTGGTTGCCCTTAAACAAGTGAATTAAAGTGAAAGATCCTGACTTTGCCCCCCACATATAATGTAACACCTGTCAATTTACTAGCGGTTCTGAAAATACATTTAAAACCTTGAGCTTAAGCTAAAAAATTCAATATTCAAATTTCACCTCCAAAATCAAGTGGAAAACATTTTAAGAGTGCAACATGTGTAACACAAGCGGTTCGATTATTTTCCAAGGCTTTTGTGATAAATGGGCACATGGGGCGTTTAGTGTTAGCAATATTATTTTACAGTTATTTTCGAAAGCATCCTTGTAAGTGCACTTCAGGAAACAAACTACAAAGAAAAACACCTCCCATATAAACCTTTTTTTACTAGTATCATTATACAGACATTCAACAGCATTCAAAAAGACATCATCACGGTCATCGACGGCAACGATGTAAACGATGAATTCATAACCTACGGCATCTCTGTACACTAGTGTCTCAATAGATCCTCAAACAGCAACAGACTGTCATCTCTGTGAACAGGAAAACTGTAGAGAGACCCCCAGTAAAGAGGGGGGGGGGAATTGTATATATTTTTTTTTTTACTGTGGAAAAAATTATATCACAACGACACCAAAATAAATGACTGAAAAAACAGAACAATACATGCGCTTGATGTAAACATCCTTTCCGTATATACATGTTCTATCAACCACAAGGAGATAAAAGATTGTTATATTTATTGTTGCTTGGCTTTAGGAGAAAAGAAGAAGAAGGGGGACTCTGAAAATACATGTTTAAGTGTCTATGTGCAGTTATACATTTTTTTGTTTCATTCCATGTCCACCATAAAATATATTTCTAGACTGAGAAGCTCCCTTTAATGGTTGCTTGTATTAGGGATGAGGAGACACACCATAAATCTGAAAAACAAATACATGGGTAAACATAATATATATATATATATATATATATATATATATATATATATATATATATATATATATATATACACACACACATACAC